CTGGTTGGCACTCAGTGCTGAATTGGAAGCCAATCTAGCCATCCGTCTGTGGTCGGCTCGTGTCAATTCGAGTGGACGTCCTCCTAAGTGTGCTTGACCGTATGCCGCAGGATTCTTCACGAAACCGTCGATGCAACGTGGCCTTGTTGCTATGGCCTGCCTGACGGAGCGTAGAATTTGGCTTTGTTCTGTTGAAGATAGACGACGACCCTTAGGCATGGTGGACTGCTTTAGGTTTCGGAATCCTGCCACTCCGTATAGAAGGCAGTAGGGCTGCGCGGACTTGAGATATTTTGTAACAATGACGGCATGGCATAAGCATTTGACGCGGCTAATTTTCACTCTGTCGCCAAAAAAGGGCGCTACCGCAGCGTTCAAATATGTTTAGGCTTTGTTGAAACTCTTGTTCACTCAGTAAGTGTTGGTCAACATTTCAGCTAGCAATGTTGCCTACCAACTCAGATAAGAGAAAAATAGAGGATGGCATATGCAATTGACGCGCACTGTAGATAGTTACATCTCCCTGCTTCACGAACCACGTCATTGGTTCGTTAGTGTAAGAGCAGTACGGTCAGAAGCGCTTCAAAGGTTGCGGAGCACTTTCACCTTAGGAGGTACACCCCGATATGGAGAGCCATTGCAATCCTTTTTATGTATAGTGCAGAAAGCACCTAGATGTTCCATTATTTCGTATTTGGTCTCTGGTATACAAGAGCTTCCCTCTTCAAGTCAAAAATGGTCAGAACTAGGCTTCATCAAGCAATTATTTTCCATGTTCCTTTAGGCTATGGAGGGCTGCACTAAATCAACTGGAGATGTAAAGCTGTTTCGCGAGCCTCTAGCACACACTTCATATAAATGCAAAACAAGTTCAGCTACATGGGATGCAAAACCCCACTCCACGTCTACGATTTCACTGTCTCTTGCTGCGCCATCGTTTCACATTCAGCTTGACGACTCGATCTCAACTCATGCTCAAAATCCTCGATCACATAGGAGCTATGTTCCCGTAAATTCTTTCCCAGATTCGTTTCGCATATTTGGAATGTAAGTTTGACATCAGCTTCGAAAGCACATATGTCAATATTCGTACATTTCACCTCCGATGGCCACTGTGACCCAGTATCCTTCCCTTGTTGGCAGATATTCAAAGAATAACGTGTCGACGGTAACAAGGGAAGTTCTAGATAGTCCTTCCTATTTGCGTGTTCGATATTTTGGGGATGAGAAGCTCTTGTAAAG